CAAAAAAAAAAAAAAAAAGTATAGCTACTTTGGAAAATAGTCTGGCAATTCCTTAAAAGATTAAATACAGGGGGGAGGAGGCAAGATGTTCGACTGAAGCCAGCTTTGGGCAGAGGTTCCTGTCCAGAGGGAGAAATAATGGCCAGAATTAACCCAATAAAGCGGAAGATCGGGAGCTGAGCTTAGAGAGAGGATCAATAGGTTCATGTCACCCCTGCTGTGACAAGCTGGAACTCCAAGGAAACAAATTTCAGGTACAAAACCCATCCCAAAGAGGATGGGAATCCTTCCCCTCCCCCTCACTCCCAGGAGATCAGCTTAAGGTGAGTAGAGGACAGAGGACCTTTTATTTCACCAAAGGGGAGAGAACAGTTGAGGACCGGGACCTCCTCCATGGAGAGATACCACTGCAAGCCCAAGCAGTCTCTTGCCTGGGCCAAAAGTTGATCTAATATTCTCCCTATCTTCCTAAACTCCCAATCCACCCTTCCACCCTCTCCTGGCGGTCTGAAAGACTACCCCCTGCAAAATCTGGAGCATTTGGCAGAGTTTTGCTAGGGCAGGGCATCTCAGGAGCTATGGGACAGTTGCGCTGAAATTATAACTTTAATAGTGGCAGGGAATCACAAGGGGAGAGAGACTTGCCCCATATTGGAAAGAGCATAGCTCAGGTCCCACACTACCAACCAGTAGAGACCGCGACCCACCAGCTCCCCAGCTCTGCTCCCCGCAAGGCTCCTGTGACCATGGGCTGCGGGGATGACTCACCCAGCTCCTGTGACCTGTGCGGCCCACAGCCGGAGACTCCACCCTCTGGATCCCAGCCCAGCTACTGAGACCCATGGCCGATGGCCAGTGACTCCTGTCCAGCCCCTGACCCACGCCTGCAACTCTGCCATTCAGCTCCCCACCCAGCTCCTGAGACCCGCAGCCTGCAGCTGGCAACTCCTGCAACCCCTGAGGTGCCTAAGGCCAGTGACTCCACCTTCTGGCTTCCCACCCAGCTCCTATGGCCAAGGCCGGGGGTCAGCAGCTCTGCCCTTCAGTTCTCCACCTGGCTCCTATGACCCTTGTAGCTGGTGGCAACACCCTCCAGCTCCCCACTGGCTCCTATGACTTGCACACAGCAGTATGCCAGACCAGTGGTACCACCCCTGACAGTGGCAGCGCAGCCCCTTGACAGTGGTGGCAGCACCACAGTCTGTCCCACTGGGGTCAAATTGAGCTGCCAGTGGACCCCTGCGCCTAGATGCTGAAGACCTTTTGAACTTTCCCACCTGATTGGTATTTGTGTTGACCACAATTGGTTTGGAACTCTCTTTTTTTTTTTTCTCTCTCTCTTTTTTCTTGAGACAGAGCCTCAAGCTGTCACCCTGGGCAGGGTGCTGTGGCATCACAGCTCACAGCAACCTCCAACTCCTGGGCTCAAGCGAGTCTCCTGCCTCACCCTCCCAAGCAGCTGGGACCACAGGCGCCCGCCACAATGCCCGGCCATCTTTTGGTTGCAGCCATCATCATTGTCTGGTGGGCCCAGGCTGGATTCAAACCTGCCACCCTAGGTGTATGTGGCCGGCACCTTAGCCACCTGAGCCACAGGCTCCAAGCCGGTTTGGAACTCTTGACCTGGGCCAATCACTCAGGGACCCACCAATGTTGTACCCTGATTGTGTTGTTGTGGGAATGTGGGATTCTCCCCTTCCAGTTGTCGCCTGTTGGGGGGCCAGGTGTTCTGGTTGCTTACCTATCTCCACAACTGAGATTTCAGCTCAAAGCCACTGATGCACTAGGATTGGACAGAGACTAGCTGAATACCGGTCAGCGCCATCTAGCCCCACCACACCAAGCAGGTGCCCAGAGTTTCAGGCAGTAATTCTGAATGGGACCTTTGTAAAGCTCTAAGGGTAAAGCCGCAATCACTAGTCCCAGTTCTTTGATAAAGGGCTGGTTTATTATAACTCTAGGAGCCCTCAATTCAGTTTCACCTTGCCAGCTTCTCTAGCCAAACAGTGAAAAATAATCATGGGGCACAATCAGCGGAAAAACTCTGGCAACATGAATAAACAGAGTAGATCAGCTCCCCCAAGGAATGACAAAGGAGACACAACAGAAGATCCCATTCATAAACAATTGGCTGAGATGTCAGAAATCAAATTCAGAATTTGGATTGCAAATAAGATTAACAGAATGGAGGTAAACATGGAATTAGAACTTCAAGGGGCATTTCAAAAGTTGTCTCAAGAATTCAATGAATTCAAAGACAAAATCACCAAAGATTTTGACACATTAAGGCAAGAACTTGCAGCCCTCATAGATCTGAGAAATACAGTAGAATCCCTCAGTAACAGAATGGAACAGGCAAAAGAAAAGATCTCTGAACATTGAATATAAAGCTTTTGAATGCTCCCAATGGCTCAAAGAGGAAGAAAAGTAGAGAGCAAAAACGGATCATTCCCTGAGAGAATTGTAGGACCACTCCAAAAGAGCAAACATTCACCTCAGGAATCCCTGAAGGAGAAAAGGATGGTCCAAAAGGCACAGATACTCTACTCCAAGAGATAATTGAGGAGAACTTCCCAAGCATGGCAAGAGATACTGAAATTCAGATATCAGTTTCAGAACCCCAGCACGACTCAACCCAAATAAAGCATCTTCTAGACACATTGTAATTAACTTCACCAAAGTTAATATGAAGGAGAAAATCCTGCAAGCAGCCAGACATAAGAGAATCATAAGCTACAAGGGGAAGAATATTAGAATGACTACAGATCTCTCTGCTGAAACTTTTCAAGCCAGAAGAGGATGGTCATCGACCTTCAATATCCTAAAACAAAACAACTTTCAGCCCAGGATCCTGTATCCAGCTAAATTGAGTTTCATTTATGACAGAGAAGTTAAACACTTTAATGACATATACATGTTGAAGAAATTTGCCCTAGCCAAAACAGCTCTTGAGGATATCCTCAGACCCATCCTCCATAATGACCAGCACAATGCTCTACCACCAAAGTAAACTCACGCTGAAATTCTTGACCAAAACCCAATTTCCACAGTGGTGAAAAGATTCAAAATGTCTACTGGACTTTCGAAAAACTTGACACCCAAAATACTACCAGGCTTATCAATACCCTCAATTAATGTGAAAAGCTTAAACTGTCCTCTTAAGAGGCACAGGTTGCCTGACTGGACACAAAAACTCAGGCTAAATATCTGCTGCATACAAGAATCTCATCTTACCTTAAAGGATAAATATAGACTCAGGGTGAAGGGATGGGCATCTGTAATCCAGGCAAACGGAAATCAGAAAAAAGCAGGGGTGGCAATTTTATTTACAGATACACTAGACTTTAAACCAACAAAAGTAAGGAAAGACAAGGATGGTCACTTCATATTTGTTAAGGGAAACACTCAACATAATGAGATGTCAATTATTAACATTTATGTGCCCAACCATAATAGTTGGAGATTTTAACACCCATTTGGCAGATAGAAACTAAGGAAAGAAATTTTGGACTTAAACTTCACCATACAACAATTGAATTTAACAGACATCTACAGAACATTTCATCCTAACAAAACTGAATACACACTCTTCTCATCATCCCAGAACATCCTCCAAAATTGATCAGATCTTAGGTCACAAGTCTAACCTCAGCAAATTTAAAAGTATAGAAATTATTCCTTATATTTTCTCATCATCATGCAATATAAGTTGAACTCACAAAGAACAGATATCTGCATACTCATACAAAGACATGGAAACTAAATTACCTTATGCTGAGTGATAGCTGGGTCATACATGAGATTAAGAAGGAAATTGCCGGGCATCTGGACTCCCTCCCTCCCAGCAAGCCCTTCCCAGAAGGCTGCCTGTGACCTGCCTTGGCACAGGGAATGGAAAACCAGAAAGGGCAAGACATGTTTAGTCCATCATGGAGCTATTTAGAAAAACCCAGGAGAAGCATCCCAAAGAGCTGATCAATGAATGGTTATTGAAGATAAGAAAGGAAATGAGAGTTGTTGACAAGCAAATAAGAGATATCCAAAGAGAAGAAGAAAAAGTGAAACGATCTATGAAAGATGCTGCCAAGAAGGGTCAGAAGGATGTCCGTGTAGTTTTGGCCAAGGAGATAATCAGGTCAAGGAAGGCTATAAGCAAACTCTATGCATCCAAAGTGCACATGAACTTGGTGCGTATGGTTATGAAGAATCAACTTGTGATTCTGCGAGTGGCTGGCTCCCTGCAGAAGAGCAAAGAAGTGATGAAGGCTATGCAAAGTCTTGTGAAGATCCCAGAAGTCCAGGCCACCATGCAGGAACTATCCAAAGAGATGATGAAGGCTGGGATGATAGAGGAGATTTTAGAGAACACTTTTGAAAGCATGGATGATCAGGAAGAATTGGAAGAAGCAGCTGAAATGGAAATTGACAAAATTCTGTTTGAAATTACACCAGGGGCATTGGGCAAGGTACCCAGTAAAGTGACTGATGCCCTTCCAGAGACTGTAGGAGCAATGGCCGCCTCAGAGGATAAGGAGGAAGAAGAGACTCTGGAGGCCATGCAGTCCTGGCTGGCTACACTCTGTAGCTAAGGGGCCAGCTGGACCCTTGAGCTTTTCCTTGTGGCTCATATGCTAGGTGTGCACACACTCCTCTGAAGAGCCACCATCATGTACCTCTTGCACTATACCTCTGTCATGAGGCATTGCATTTTGGAGAAGGTTCTCTGCTAGTATCTCTTCATTATGTGCAGTTTTGGGACCTCAAAAAGATTCTTCCTAGTAAGGTGGTATAATTAAATGCATCATTTAAAGGAGCATAAACAGAAGTATCTTATTGGGAGGGTAAAGAAATCCATTGTTTCATGAAGCACTTCTGGAAAGAGACAATTGCCTGAATGTTGAAGACTTTACATTTTTTTTGTCTGCAAAACACTATATAAATGGATTTTAATAAATTTCTACTCAAAAAAAAAGGAAATTGCCAAATTTTTGGAACAAAACAATAATGAAGACATGAATTATCGGAACGTGTGGGATACTACAAAGGCAGTTCTAAGAGGGAAATTTATAGTGTTAGGGCCTTCCTCAAGAAAATGGAAAGAGAGATAGTCAATAACTTAATGGGTATCTTATGCAACTGGAAAAGGAAGAACATTCCAACCCCAAACTCAGCAGAAGAAAAGAAATAACTAAAATTAGAGCAGAATTAAATGAAATTGAAAACAAAAGAATTATTCAAAAGTGAATCAAAAAGTTGGTTTTGTGAAAAATTCAACAAAATTGATAAACCTTTAGCCAACCTAATCAAAAATGGAAAATTAAAGTCCATAGTATCATCAATCAGAAATAAAAAAGGTGAAATAACAACAGACACCTCAGAAATTCAAAAAAGCATTAATGAATACTATAAAAAACTTTATTCTCAGAAATATGAAAATCTGAAAGAAATTGACCAATACTTGGAAGAACACCAACTTCCTAGACTTAATCAGGAAGAACTGGAAATGCTGAACAGACCTATGTCAAGTACTAAAATAGAATCAATGAACTCTATGAAATCTCCCAAAAAAGAAGAGTCCAGGACCAGATGGCTTCACATCAGAATTCTACCAAACTTTTAAAGAGGAACTAGTACCAGTATTGTTAACCTTTTCCAAAACATGGAAAAAGAAGGAATACTTACCAACACATTCTATGATGCAAATATCACTCTGATCAGGAAAAGACCCAACAAGAAAAAGAAAACTATAGACCAATATCTTTAATGAACATGCAAAAATATTCAATAAGATCTTAGCAAACAGAATCCAGCAACACATCAAACAAATTATACACCATGACCAAGTGGGTTTTATCCCAGAGTCTCAAGGTTGGTTCAATATACGTAAATCTATAAATATACATCACATAAACAAACTAAAAAACAAAGACCATGTGATTCTCTCAATAGACGCAGAAAAAGCTTTTGACAATATCCAGCATCCTTTCATGATCAGAGCACTTAAGAAAATAGGTATAGAAGGGACTTTTCTTAAACTGATAGAGGCCATCTATAGCAAACCCACAGCCAATATCATATTGAATGGAGTAAAATTGAAAACGTTTCCACTCAGATCAGGAACCAGGCCAGGTTGCCCATTGTCTCCACTGCTTTTTAACATTATAGTGGAAGTCTTAGCCATCACTATCAGGCAAGAGAAGGCAATCAAGGGTATACAAATAGGGTCAGAGGAGATCAAACTTTCACTCTTTGCAGATACGATTTTATACCTGGAAAACCCCAGGGACTCAACTACAAAACTCTTAAAAGTGATCAAGGAATACAGTAGCATCTCAGGATACAAAATCAATACTCACAAATCAGGAGCTTTTATATATACCAATAATAGTCGAGCCAAAAAAACAGTCAAGGATTCTATTCCCTTTACAGTTGTGCCAAAGAAGATGAAGTATTTGGGAATTTACCTAACAAAGGACGTGAAAGATCTCTATAAAGAGAATTATGAAACTCTGAGAAAAGAAATAGCTGAAGATGTTAACAAATGGAAAAACATATCATGCTCATGGCTAGGAAGAATCAACATTGTTAAAATGTCCATATTACCCAGGGGTAGAGCCTGTGGCTCAGTGAGTAGGGTGCTGGCCCCATATACAAAGGGTGGTGAGTTCAAACCCAGCCCTGGCCAAACTGCAACAAAAAAAATAGCCAGGCATTGTGACAGGTGCCTGTAGTCCCAGCTACTAGGGGTCTGAGGCAAGAGAATTGCCTAAGCCCAAGAGCTAGAGGTTGCTGTGAGCTGTGACACCACAGCACTCTACCAAGGACAACAAAGTAAGACTCTGTCTCTAAAAAAAAAAGTCCATATTACACAAAGTAATTTACAAATTTAATGCAATCCCTATCAAAGCACCACCATCATACTTTAAAGACCTGGAAAAAATAGTACTTCCTATTTTATGGAACCAGAAAAAACTTCAAATAGCCAAGATATTACTCAGAATAAAAACAAATGAGGAGGCATCACGCTACCAGACTTCAAACTATACTATAAATCTATAGTGATCAAAACAGCATGGTATTGGCACAGAAATAGAGAGGTAGATGTATGGAACAGAATTAAGAACCAAGAGATGAACCCAGACACTTATCATCATTTGATCTTTGATAAGCCTATCAAAAACATAAATTGGGGGAAAGAGTCCCTGTTTAACAAATGGTGCTGGGAGAATTGGCTGGCAACTTGTAGAAGACTGAAACTGGACCCAAACCTTTCACTATTAACAAAAATTGACTCTCATTGGATAGAAGATTTAAACTTAAGACATGAAACTATAAAGATTCTTGGAGAAAGTGCAGGAGAAACACTTGAAGAAATTGGCCTGGGAGAATACTTTATAAGAAGGACACCCCCCAGCCCCCACCCCCACCAGGCAATTGAAGCAACACCAAAAATCCATTACTGGGATCAGATCAAACTAAAAAGCTTCTGCACAGCCAAAAACACAGTAAGTAAAGCAAGCAGACAGCCCTCAGAATGGGAGAGGATATTTGCAGGTTATGCTTCTGACAAAGGTTTGATAACCAGAGTCCACAGAGAACTCAAACTTTTCAATAAGAAAAGAACAAGTGATGCCATTTCATTGTGGGCAAGGGACTTGAACAGAAGCTTCTCTGAAGAAGATAGGTGTATGGCCTACAGACACGTGTAAAAATGCTCATCATCTTTAATCATCAGAGAAATGCAAATTCAAAACCACCTTAGGAGATCATCTAACTCTCGTAAGAGTGGCTCACATAACAAAATCCCAAAACTATTGATGTTGGCGTGGTTTTGGAGAAAAGGGAATACTTCTGCACTGCTGGTGGGAGTGCAAGCTAATAAATCCCTTTTGGAAAGAAGTATGGAGAATACTCAGGGATCTACAAGTAAACCTGCCATTTGATCCTGCAAGTCCTCTACTAGGTGTATATCCAGAAGACCAAAAATCACTTTATAATAAAGATATTTGCACCAGATTATTCATTGCAGCTCAATTCATAATAGCCAAGTCATGGAAGAAGCCCAAGTGCCCATCAACCCATGAATGGATTAATAAATTGTAGTATATGTATACCATGGAATATTATGCAGCCTTAAAAAAGATGGAGACTTTACCTCTTTTACGTTTACATGAATGGAGCTGGAACATATCCTACTTAGTAAAGTATCTTAAGAACAGAAGAAAGAATATGCAATGTACTCAGTACTATTGTGAAACCAATTTACAATCACTCACATTTTCATATGAAGAATAGATCACAACTATGGCCCAAGATGAAGGAGGGAGGAGGAGAGGATGGGAGGGGAGGGAGGGGGTCAGATCGAGGGAGGGTGAATGGTAGGATCACACCTATGTTGCATAATGGAAGGGTGCATGTCGGATCTATTAGTATAGAGTATAAATGTCTTAACACAATAATTAAGTAAATAAGATGAGGTATATATTAACCAGTATGATGTAAGCGTTCCTAATTCTACATGAAATCGGCACATTGTACCCCATAAATGCATTTATGTATACATGATCTATGTGTTTATGATTTAATAAAAAAATTAAAAATATATAAATAAAAATAATAAAATAAATAAAAGATTAAATACAGAGTAACCATATGATCCAATAATTCCGCTCCTAGGTACCATATTTTACGATGTATAATGTGCTCTAGTGTGTAGTACATACCCACATTTTGTTTTTTGTTTGTTTGTTTTTTGAGACAGAGTCTCACTTTGTCACCCTGGGTAGAGTGCTGTGGCATCATAGCTCAAAACAACCTCAAAAGCCCTAGGCTCAAGCAATTCTCTTGCCTCAGCCTCCCGAGTAGCTGGGACTACAGGCGCCTGCCACTGCACCCAGCTATTTTTAGAGATTTGGTCTCACTCTTGCTCAGGCTGGTCTTGAACCTGTAAGCTTAGGCTATCACCCACCTTAGCTTCCCAGAGTGCTGGGATTACAGGCATACGCTACTGCGCCCAGCCTGCACCCACATTTTTAATCCAAACTTTCAAGGAAAGTCTCCTGAAGAAAGTAGCCATCTCTTGACCAGGAGAGACACATCTGGGGAGGGCTATCACTCCCAATAAACATGCCAATTGTGCTGCCTTCCCACAGCCACTACCTCTGTAAAGGATACCCCTTCCCTCATACCTGGGAGCCTTTCCTTCCCTGCCACATCAGGGGCCGAGCTGAGATGGTCACATGTGTGGGTGACAAAGGGGTGGTTTCTGCGGCCTCCTGGCCCATGGGCAACCAGGCAGGTCCCTGGGGCCTGCACTAGGTTCCCATTTCCTGCCTTCCCAGTCCAACTACCACCCCCTCCCAAATTGCAGCCCTAGCTGGTGGCCTGCCCCCACTACATCCTAGATCCTCACAGACTGGAACCCTGTGTGCCTGGTGGGCTCAGGTGGGAGGATGCAGCAGCCCTGGGAGACCCACTGGATTCCCCCACTCCCAAGCCATGTTCCCCATATATAATGTATTTCCTGTTTTTCCCTCCAAAATTTGGACAAAAAAGTACATGTTATACATAGGAAAATACCCCCAAAGAA